TGAACACTATTTCCCCTCTTTTCCTTTAATTTCCTTTATCCAGCCTCTTCTCCTTCTCCCCTTCCCTCCCTCCTTCAGCCTCCTCCTCCTTCTCCTATACCCGTTTTTAGCGTCTCAATCCTCTCCTCCTTGCCTCGTTTGTCGGATCTTTTCCTCCCCTCCCTTCCTTCGTCTCCCTCCTCCCTTGTTCCTCTTTCCCATCTCCCTTTCCTCCTTCCCATTCCCTCCCCCCCCTCTTTTCCTCATCCACTTACCACCCTTCTCCGCTCTCTTTCCCCTTCCCTCCCCCCTCTCCATCCCCTCCCCTCCCCATCTCTATCCCCTCTCCCGCCTCCTCTCTTCCCCTCTTCATCTTCCCCCTCCTCCCATTTCCTCATCCCTTCTCCCTTCTTCCCCCTCCCCTCTTCCTCCTCTCCTTCCTCCCCCCCTCCCCCTCCCCTCATCCTCCTACCCCCTCTCCCTCCACCCACCTCCTCCCTCTCCCCTCCTTCCCTCTCCCCTCCTCCTCCTCTCCTTCCCCTCAGCCACGACGTTGAATTAGTGCCCCCGTCTGAGTTGATGGGGCCAATAAAGTGTTACACGAGTTGTAGATAGAAATCTCTATTTCTCTGCCATTTAGAATAGTTTATATGACGATTCGTTTCAGCCGGTCAAATAAACCCTAAGGAGTTGCTTCTGACACTGATGCATGCCTGATCCTCTCCCAGAGTTTATAGAAATCGTGAAAGTGATTGCAGAGAGGGAAATAAACTATCAATATTGCTGTCGTAACGGTTGCATAAACCATTAGTAGTAGTAGTTGTAGTAGTAGTAGTTGTAGTAGTAGTAGTAGTTGTTGTAGTGGTAGTAGTAGTAGTTGTAATAGTAGTAGTAGTTGTAGTAGTAGTAGTAGTAGTAGTAGTTGTAGTAGTTGTTGTAGTAGTATTAGACTGGTCGTAAGAAGGGTAGGAGTAAACGAAAAACTGATAATAGTAGTAATAGTAGAAACGGCAAGAAAAGGTAGCGTAACTGTATTAATAGTAGTAGTAGTAGTAATAGTAGTAATAGTAGCAGTAGTATTAGAGGTAGTAATATCAGCAGTAGTGGCAGCAGGAATAGTAGTAGTAGGAAGTGCTATTAGAAGTAGAAGTAGTAGTAGCATTAGTAGCAGTAGTAGTAGTAGTAGTAGAAATAGTAGTAGCAACAGTAGTAGTAGTGATGATAGTAACACCAGCAGTAGTAGTTGCAGGGTAATAGAAGTAGCAGTCTTAATCCTTATTATCATCATCATTGACATTATTATCATTATCATTATTATTATCATTGTCATTGTCATTATTGTTATTATTATTATTACATTGTTAATATTATGATTATTAACATTATTATCACCTTTATTATCACTGATATTACTATCAATATACATATATTACTATAAACATTACTATAATCCTGATTATTACCTGATTACCTTATTATCCTGATTATTAACAAGTAATCTACGACCGCAGTGATAACCTTCCCCCCCCCCACCTTTAACCCTCCCCCCTCCCCCAACCCCCATCGATGAATGAAAGAGCAAGAAAGAGCACATGCTTGTGATACTAAACAAAACTTCTATACTTTACATGCTTTATTTTACCGGAAATAATGAGTTCGCATCATGCTTAAAACGCGTAATGGGCATCGATCACCTTTAGCACAGGATAAAGGCTCCTCGTTTACATTTAATAGGATATCTCGCCTAATTGCACTTGGTCAAGTAATGTAAAATAGCTTCGTACTGTGATTACTCCAGAGCGCGGTTAACGACAGTGTAAGGAGCGGTTCATAGTGCAGAGAAACAGATGGTTAATGAAATGCTTCTAAAATCGTGATATCAGATTTTTTTTTTTTTTTTTGGGGGGGAGGGGGGTGGAGGGGGAGGAGTTTTGTATACGAGGAGATTTACAAATTACTAATAAGGCCGTTAAGGTTGTTGAAAAGTTTAAAAAGCGAAGACATTGACTAATTATGTTTATAAAATACGTTTTTGGCATAATACGCGACTCTCAGAGGGAATATGGAAATCTACTTTTTTATAAATCGAATAAAAAATGATACTAATTATCGTGACTCTAGAGGAAAACATAAACAAAATAGACGAAAAATGTGACTCCTTGGAGAGGGTCAACACACGATAATGATAGTATAGTAAATAAAACAAAAGAAATGAAAGAACATCATGAATGAATGAACAATATGAATGAAGGTATATTTTTCTGAACTATTATTTTCTATCATTATTTTATATTATCTGTTCTTCTTAATTATTATTCTGTATTATTATCCATTCTTCATTATCATCATACATTGTTACCTATTACTTATTTTATTCTGTATTATAATTTTATTTCTATCATTTTTATCTTTATTATAAAAGCAAAACAATAAAAGTTAAATAGAAATAAACATGAAGATAAAAATAACGCAAATATCAAAATGCAACGTGCAATATGCAAGATAAAGCAAAAAAAAAGAA